CTTACTCGCGACAGGCCACGTGCGATCGGCCCGTTTCAGCATGTGAGTAGACATAGTACTCTGTATGCAACAAATTCTCGAGCTCCTCGGCATCGGCGTCAAACTGGATCCATTGCTTGTTGGTCGACTGCGTGATGCGGTCTTTTGCAATACCAGCCAACTCCAACCAAGAACGCACATCATTCACGCTCTTTTCATTCGGGGCAAACAGGTCGTGCACTTCATCGGTGGACAGATGCTGTCCGTAGCGGCTCGAGGATGGGTTAGATCTAGAATAATCCATGTCAGTTTCAAACGGTTGTGGGGGGGGGACATGGCATAAGTTCATACAAATCCATAAGTAGGTCATGGCCATAGTCTAGGTTAGACTGGGTCAACCCGATTCGCACAGGTAGTGACACATTTCCGTCAAGCTTCTTGCCTTCAATCCAAGATCTTGGAATAAAATCACGACGCTCGTGTACTTGATAAGTATGAGCCGTTGGTACTGCCATCGCACTGGCCACCAGGGCACAAAATATTATGAAGGATTTCATGTTGATAATATTTGGCAGGAGTTTGCCAATTCAGCTTCCTCCGAAGTTGAGAATCAAGTCGAAAAGACCAACGGCGGACAAGGTATACTTTATAGCTTATCCCGTCTTGCAAGGTGGGCCTGTATGGGGCTTTCAGGGTCGATCACCACTAATTCAATTGGACTGAGATCACCCAAGAGGAAAGACAGCCAGTCGATCAATGATGCTAAGACCCCAGGAAATCAAGCAGGGTAAGGACAGAGCTTATCCTGCTTCTCTTTTTGTCTTAGCCTGTGAGTATCTCGCTAAGTGTTGAACATCGGGGTGAAGTTCCTCGGGGCCATTCATCTAACATAAAAAACCCCCAATTGATCCCCCTCGGAAGGTTAAGGCAGGTCACACGGGGTCCATGTGAAGATCATTAATACAGAGAGTATGACTCTTCCCTAATGGGGTTGCGTTCTTCGGCGACTTTTCGAAAAATGGCGTCGCTACAACCCATCAAGTCAACGAAATTGAAGACATTTTGAATCATGTATCTTTGTCGTCCGTCGGAGTCCAGAGTCGATTGGTTCCGAGCGTCCGAACGGGATCTCAGCAATTACAGTCCGAGATAACCAAGGAGTGCCTCGGAAGTACGGGCGTGATCTCAAAAATTAAAAGATCATCGGGGTTGTACCTCGGGAGAAAACTACCCCTGAGGGATTGACTCGCAGCCAGGCGATGAAAATGCAACCATCGCATGATGCAACGCAGACGGCCGAAGCCACTGGACGTCGAGAGTTGTCTAGTGGAAATGTGGAGAGAGTATTTCTTGAAAGCGATGCCTCTGTCGAATCATAATGAGAAGGTTCCACGTTATCATTTCATACCAAAATGAGGTCGACGATCCCGATGACCCCTGGACACTTTCCGCATTTCAGGGTGCTGGATGAAGTTATATATTCCGAAATGTGGTGAAAAAAACATGAATAGAATTGAATTGGTTTGAGATCAAGCCCAAGCTTAGAGCTGAACTTTGATGCTAAAGCATCATCTTTCCTTGAAATTCAGACGGCGGGATTATTGGGGATACTTGCTCATGTGGTCAAATGGTAAAAGCCCGGTCTTATGCACTCTGCATAATTCTTATCAATTTACGATTAAAACGATTGGTTGCTATTCTGGCCACTACGGGGGAGGATTCTTGCATCGAGTCTTGTATCCCAACTGTCATCCACCCACCACGCCGGTTATTAAACTCCGCATATGGTGGTATCAAAGAGTTGATACAGAAAACCACTCAAGGTTACGTGGTTGCAACGTCGGTAGCAGAAACAGACTTGCATGTGCCTTCAGGCATAAATCATGCAAGCAAAAGATGAGAGCTCTAGGGCTATTCATGTGCTTGGAACTTGATTATATCGGATGGCATTGCCGTCGAATTCAAGTGCGGATGATCAGTGGAGAACTGGAGAGCTCAATGTGAAAGAAGTCCTAGAAGCCCGAGAAATCAAAGCATTGCAAGAACGTGGTTTCAATGTCGGTTTGATGGACTGGTGGTCGAAAGGTCCAGGTGAAAATGACGGCACTTCTGCCACACCGATAAGGGGACGTGGTTGGAAATTCTCAACCTAGCGGTTCAACCGCACAGTCTCCGGTCCATGACACTTACACGGGTCTGTTTCAACTGCCGTGCCTTGATCGCATCGAAAGACGGCTTCAAACCGGCGATGCGATGTTTGAGAGCACAGTTTCCCCTCGGTTTGGGATGTGCAACCACTCAGGATCCGCACCATTTCCATAATAAATCCACCAGCTGCTGCCGATGCAAGGGCTTGGCGATGTAATCGTCCATCCCCTTAGCCAGATATTTTTCTGCATCTCCCTTGAGGGCATTGCCCGTCAATGCGAGGATAGGCACATCGAGTTTCATCCGTCGAATGTGCTCTGTAGCGGTTATTCCATCCATGACGGGCATGCTAATGTCCATCAGGATAAAATTATAGGCCAAAGGTTTCTGCTTGACCATACGCACTGCTTCTGCTCCATCCCAGGCAACATCGACGTGCTGGAAACCCAGGCTGCTGAGAAGTTTCAACATAATAAGTTGGTTGACCTTGTTGTCTTCGACAAGAAGAATGTGTTTGTGTGGAGCGATCTTCTGGAGCGAGGCAGAATTATCCAACGCCTCGGGTATGCTTGGCTGCAACTTCGACTTCACTGGAGACACTGGCGAAGTGAGGCGAGTCATCTTAGCTGTCATCCAGAACACACTACCAGGACCGTCGGGGTTGGCATGGAATCCAACCGCTCCGTCCATCAATTCAGCCAGGCTCTTGCATATCGACAGACCAAGGCCAGTACCCTGGTATCTTTTTACGGCCGTGTCCGCGAATCGCGCGAAAGGGGTGAAGAGGGTGCTTGTGGCATCTTCAGGCACGCCGATACCAGTGTCCACTACCTGCGTGGAGATCACATACATATCAGGGTCTTTTTCGTCGATGGTATAAGCAGCATGTACTCGAACATGGCCACTCTCGGTGAACTTGACTGCGTTGGTGACCATATTTTGCAGAACCTGGCGGAATCGCAGAGTGTCACCTTTGAGGTTTGGAGGAAATCCTTCGCTAACAGTGCTCATAATTTGGACCCCAGGCTTGAGCGCCGACTGACAGTTCCGAACCACAGCAGAAATCACGTTGGGAATGTTGACAACATCTGGGTTCAAGGGGAAAGTTCCCGACGACAGCTTAGAATAATCCAGCACATCATTAATGACTTGCAGCAAGATCGAAGTGGAGTCTTCAAGGATGCACCCGAATTCCCGCTGGTCATCAGTCAACTCGGTCCTCAGTAGCATCGTCAAAGCCAAGAGCATTCCGTTCATCGGGGTGCGTAATTCGTGGGACATGTTGGCCAAAAAGGCAGACTTCAGCTTGGCAGATTCTTCGAAAGCGTCAATCAAACGGGCCTCTGTCGCTCGACGTTCGGTCATGTCGCGGGTAACTTTCACGAATCCGACATGGCTGCCATTCTGATAGATGGCGGTGACCATGACATTGGCCCAAAACCGGGTGCCATCCTTACGGTAACGCCAGCCCTCATCCTCAACTTTTCCTTCTTGTAAACAGACCTCCAGCTCGCGGGCGGGCTTTTTCATTTCGCAGTCATCGCGACCGTAAAAGACGGAGAAATGCTGACCGATGATCTCGGATGATGTGTATCCCTTCAAAATAGCGGCGCCAGAATTCCACGTCCCAATATAGCCGCGCGTATCTAGCATAAAAATGGCATAATCCCTCACCGTGTCGACCAAGATTTTGTGGGTTTCGTTGAGATAGGTTTGTTCGCTCAGGGAATTCGACCTGTTCTGTTGGCATTTGATCCGCTGGGCTTCGAGGAGGACGTAGATCAGGGCGTCATCTTCAAAGATGGGCGTCACGCTAAGTGAAAAGAAGGCGTCGATTTGCGCCACGTGAACGCGCTTGATGACCTGCACTTCGCGAGTTGATATGGCAGTACCGAGGGTACCACTCAGGGAGGCGATATCGGGAGCAGGGAGGATGGAGGGGGGAAGATCGTAGATATTCGTTGCCAACAGTTGGTCTCGTGAGCGCTTGAAGATTTCCACATGACTGTTGGACACTTCGATGATTCGTAGGGCGCCGTCTAATACGAGAGTGGGTTTACTGGAGAGGGTACGGAGGTTAACGGAATAATTCTTTTGGGGGATCTCCTCCTCAGAATTCAAGGGGTTTCTCACGGTGTAAATCGATAGATGCGACTTAAAGATCCGGTCGCAATGGGCTGTTCAAGGGCTTTGTTCTCAAGATTCAAGTCACTCTCGGCCGGAGTGATCACCATAGTGACATTGTTCATAGGACGGTCGATTCCCAGGTGGAGCATCTGATCCACAGGCATATTGCTAACCGCCTGGGAGGAAGTGAGGATGTCATTCAAGGAGGATTTTTCAAAATTTTGAATGAGATCTAGGGATATATGGAGGAATAAGGAAGAAATGAGAACTTTGAAACCGGGGGATTTGGAATCCAAAACCAAGCTGAGAGAGAGGAAGATGAGTGGACGGGAGAACGGGCTTTTCATTCCAGGCCAAAAGGTGGATAACAGAATATATTAAAAATATTTGAACTATTGAAATTACCTATTCTAGGAGAACGTCATGATATATTTTCCACGTAGATGTACAATAACTAGGGAGTACTCCGTACAACATATATAGTTGCAATATCAGCCTAGGTTAAACTATATTGTATCCCCTATGTTGTATATTCCCAATTACATACGTACAACATATACCCATATACGCATATACGCACATCACTACGTAATTCTCTGTTTCCAAAAATACAAGAGGGGCATGGGAACGGCGATAACTCGGATATATTGTGTACATTAGTTCTCTGGATGGAGTACTCGACCTCAGTACAACATATACCAGATGTGTATGGAGACGGAGTACAGAATATGATAAAAGAGACCTTTCTAGATCACATTTTCACGCTCGGCCCTCTCCACCATCTTGACCAACGCATCGGCAATCCCATATGAAAACGCATACCCACCACCCCCAAACCCATAGGCGGACAACACCACCCGACTACCCTTTCGCTCCGACTCGAGACGGAACCCTCCTTTTCGGGATGGTCGGATTCCAACGATGTAACTCACCTTATCTGCAGCTGGCTGTTCGGGAACAATTTCAGGAGCTAACCGATGCGCGCGGGCAATCTCATCCCTTGCGATATCCATATCGACTTCAGGTGACCTAGAAAGGTTAGCTTTAAGAGAGTTATCCGGAGTCTAGGCATTTTCATACAGGTTGCCTTGTTGTTTCACGCCACCGAGGACCACCCCTTTCGATAGCGGCCGAGGGATCACATAAGTATATTCCTTGCCATTTCGGAAGTGGAGCGTGTTGCATTGATCAGTGGCCAGGAATACATTCTGCCCTCGCTCCGGGAAACAGTTATCATCTTGCACATCCGTCAGGGTTTTACTGCCCCAACCGCTTGCATTGATGAACACCCGTGATTCGGGGAACATCTCATACAGCTCCTGAAGGGACTCGACACGTTGGCGGATAAAACGACCCCCAAGAGACTCAACCTGTTTCTTAAGATAAGGCATGTGTCTTGTGGGATCTGTGACAAGTGTTTCATAGGCCCAGCCACAGTTGAAATCGGGAAGGTATTCACCAGGACTCATCTCACGGAACTGAACAATACGGATAATGTCAATATCAATCAAGCGGGAATTACATGGGGGACAAGGTACCTTGGAGACCACCGTCTTACCCCATATCGCGGAGTCAGGGGCAGGTTTTTGTTCGAGGTATTCTCGTGCGTTGACAATGCTCACCCCTGCCTCGGGGCCATCTTGTGCCATCTTGAGTAGGATGCGATGTGTGACAGCTTGAAGGTATCGTTGATCCGGGGTAATACCTCCCGCGGCATGCCACGCAGCTCCTGCCCAAGCCGAGGCATAGGAAATATTCTGGTCTCCTGGTAGATATTCGGCCACCAATATCACGGGGAATCCATTCAGCAGTAAGTGCCGGGCTGTCGCACAGCCGATGATCCCCGCACCGAGAATTACAATGGGTCTTTGAGGAAAGGGCACATCATCGGTACCGAGATGGTCGCATTCACCCATTGTGAGGTGTGTACAAGGTTCAGATGACGAATGACACCACAGAGTTTCCCGAGGTCCTACGTTGGTTCCCGGTGGAACTGGACCAGCCTTTGAGACAAATTCCAAGGCAATCGAATCAAGGATTTAGGAGTGGCTTAGAGTAAATAGTAAATAGTTATGCGTATCTTCAAACCGCCCGAAAACAAGGGAGAAAGGGGAAATCAACCCTCGACCATTTAGGGTTTCGAACTTTTAAGCCTTCAACATGGCATCGCTACTTCGCTACTTTGCTACTTTGTATGTTAAATTTTATTGGATTAATTGAATTCATCTTCCATTATTTCACACAAATTCAAAGCTATATCTTACTTCGGCAATAATAAAGTGGGTCTATAACGGCCTCTTCCGACGTCGCATCCCCGTCAGTCACTTTTTTTCCCTTCCTTTTTTACCCATCCAATAGAACGGAATCCGGGGAGGAAGTAAATGTGATAGATGCCCCCGATGCCCATTCTCTATTGGTTATTTTGTTAGCTCACCCGTGGACATCCCTGTACGGGGTACTCCATATTTGGAGACAATTCATGCAGTCATCGGTACCTAGGTGGTCTAATATTCGGCTCAAGCCGACTCAACACTAAACTGGGGCTTGGTGCACTTTCCTCCCTTGCTCTAGGGGAAGCCTAGGGGCTCCTTCGGAGGACCCCGGTTAATGATGGAGAGGGCTGAGAAGAGTCAGGTGGGTGCGCGTTCCGAGATTGACTCCTCCCCCACATATATGGTTTAGTTAACTGGTTCATATCTCAGGACGCCCCTTCGGATCAAGATGGAATTGCCATTCTTCACGATCGGGATGCCGAGAAGATCTTACCCTATGAAGCCGATGATTCGCCTTTCCCGGAGGTGCGGGCTGTCATCCGGCCAGTCAATGACTTGACGCTGCCTGTCAGCACGGTCCGCATGTGGACTATTGGTATCTTGTTTACCATCGTACGTCTTATCTTTTATGCAACCGAACGATCGGCAAGATAATACTAACCAGCACAGATCGGTAGTGGACTGAACCAGTTCTTCAGCTTACGACAGCCCAGTGTGACTATCAGTGCTCTGGTGGCGCAATTGCTGGCTTTTCCTTTGGGATGCGCCTGGGCAAGATGGATTCGTCTCGGAGCGCTGAATCCCGACCGGCATTTCAATATCAAGGAGCATGCCTTGATCACAATCATGGCGAACGTCTCGATTGGCTCTGCTGCCGCCACTCAAGTTATTGAAGCGCTTGTCAAGTTCTATAACATGCCATCGCAGGGTGGGTTTGAGGTTTTATTGTGTATTACCACCCAATTGTTTGGATTTGGCTTGGCCGGCATGGCCTCGCGCTGGCTAGTTGGCCCGGCCTCGATGCTTTGGCCGCAGGTGTTGTCAAATGCAGCACTTTTGACCACCCTCCACTCTCACTCCAATGCTATCGCAGATGGCTGGCGGATCACACGTCTTCGCTTCTTTCTTTATGTTTTCATCGGTGGCGCCATCTGGTACTTCGTCCCGGGATATCTCTTTACAGGCCTCAGCACCTTCGCCTTCATCTGCTGGATCGTACCATCCGATGTGGTGGTGAATCAACTCTTTGGACAAACCACCGGACTAGGGATGTCGGTATTGACCTTCGACTGGGCCCAGGTGGTTTATGCGAACCATAGCCCCCTGCTTGTTCCCTTTTGGGCTGGGCTTAATGTGATGGGATCATTTGCGCTCTTCTTCTGGCTCGTGTGCCCCCTCGTTTACTACACCAACACCTGGTATTCTGCACACCTGCCGCTGCTCAACTCCTACACCTACGATAATACTGGAATTCCTTACAACACCAGTCGTATCATGGGCACGGGCGGGAGGATCGACCAAACTGCTTATCGAAACTATTCACCCATGTTTTTACCGGCTGGCTATGCAATCACATTCGGTGTTGCCTTTGCTAACTTAACGGGCATCTTCTTCCACACCGCGTTGTATCATGGCAAAGACTTGTGGCGACAATGGAAGGGTACCAGCAAACAAGACGTCCATAGTCGACTGATGTCTTCATATCGAGCCGTGCCCTGGTGGTGGTTTGCTGCAGTCACTGTCCTGATGTTTGTCTTGAGTATTGTGACCAACGAGGTGTGGCATACGGGCCTACCGGCATGGGGTGTGCTGGTAGCATTCGTGTTACCAGTGGTCTACTTTATCCCTGTAGGAGTCATTAAGGCTCTCACAAATATCAGCAGTAACCAACTGAACCTGCTCACGGAATTTATTGGCGGATATGCCTTCCTCGGGCAGCCAGTGGCCAACATGGCATTCAAATTCTATGGCTATGTCGCTGTTCAGCAAGGACTCGAGTGAGTTACATACTGTTCCAAAATAAAATTGACATGGATTAACACCACATCAGATTTGTCGCCGATATGAAGTTGGCTCATTATATGCACATTGCCCCACGGCTTCTGTTTGTAGCCCAGGGCCTGGCCACACTCATCGGAGCTATCGTTCAATGTGGTGTGACAGTGTTCATGATCACCAGAATTGATGATGTGTGTACCCTTGAGGCCGAGGGGGGTTTCATCTGCCCTCATGGAAAGGTCACATACTCTTCATCTCTCATTTGGGGTGAGTTCCCTTGCTGTCGATGTTTTGCAATCATATAGCTAACCAATCTTTCAGGTGCTGTTGGTCCCGGTCGATTATTTTCTTCCGGGGAGATATATAGCAATCTACTTTGGTTTTTCCTGGTCGGACCCGCCGTGGTAGTCATTACTTATCTTCTAGGTCGTCGTTGGAAATCTGCCAATTATGTCTCCTGGCCCGTCGCTTTCGGTGCAATGAGCCAAGTCCCACCTGCTACAGGTATCAGCTTCTCCTCGTGGTGGATAGTCAACTTGATATTCAATGGCGTACTTCGTCGCCGCAAGCCCGCGTGGTGGTCAAAATACAGTATATTCATCGTTTCTCCTTCATTGTTGCTTCTTTTGCTGATCGTCCACAGATTATGTTTTATCCGCCGCGTTAGATTGCGGTGTTGCAGTCGCGACGGTAATCATCTTCTTTTGTATAACCCTCCCAGCAGGTTCGTTGAGCTGGTGGGGAAATACTGTGTCGAAAACCACAGCCGACGGCAAAGGCACGCCCTACATGGGCTTACCAGCGCGTGGATACTTTGGCCCCCCGAAGGGAACTTGGGAGTGATCAAGAACGCCTGATCACAACTTCATTTTTGGCGTCTTTCTACCTCCATCCATTGCTGTAACCACTCAGTGTTGGGTGCATGTTGCCTCTGGTTTATAATATACGATAGGGTATACCGGAGTCGGAAATGGTCTTTGGGATACCTCTGCGAACTGGGCTACGGGGGGTCTGGCGTTTATTCTCATGTATCGTTTCTCATTTCCCATAAACTAAACTGACCATCAAAGTTTGACCGACCGACCGCCCACATAGACTTTGAAAATATTCCGATCATCCCCAGTCATCAAAAACTTCTCGAATATCACCTGGATGGTATCTTCATCTTCCACTGGGCTCATTACTCCCGGTTGGTCAAGATCGGTGGTATGAACTTCGAGCGCATCGAACTCTTTGCCAACTGCAAAGTTACCGACTCGGTCATCGAGACCACACACTTGCGCGCCGCCCATAGTAGCGAGAAAGAAGCCCTCGCATAAAGAAAGTGCAGGGTCCCGTCCTTGTGTCAACATCTGCTGCGCATTCGACACAATGAAGGCCTGTTTCATGGCATCCAGTATAGAGGACGAGTAGCCACCGCCACTATCAGTGCCCAGGCCCACCTTGATACCGCGGCGCAGATACTCTCGTACAGGTGCTACCATAAAATCTTGCATAGTGGTGTTGGCGATTGGGCAGTGGGCAACCCCACAGCCAAGTTCTTGGATGCGACGCATCTCTCCTTCTTGTAGGAAGATACAGTGGGCAAGAATGGATCGATCATTCAATAGACCATATCGCTGATAGAGATCAGCTTCCGTGTCAAACTCTGGGAAGAGCTGGCGCGTGAATTCGATCTCCTGCTTTGCTTCATTGAAATGTGTTTGTATTGGAAGTTTGGGATGTTCACGGGCGATGGCACCAATCCCATCCAGTAGCTCCGGCTCACAGGATATCGCAAAGCGTGGCGTCAGTATTGGTTTCACCAGATGGTATTCCGGATCAAGTTTCTGAACATGATGAATCAGCTCACGCGTTTCGTGCAGTGAGTCGGACACCGACGGATCCCGATACCAGTCCGGGGCATTCCGGTTCATGTTACACTTGCCCACGAGAGCGCGCTGTCCTTTTTTGAAGCAGACATCAGCCAAAATTCGAGTTGCCTGTCCATGATGTGAGCCGTAATATGACGCAGTGGTAATGCCCTGTTGCAAGAATCCCGTCACGCAAGAGGCGTACATGCGTCTGGCATATTCCGGATCTTGAAATTTGGCCTCGTGGGCAAAAGTGACCTTATTTAACCAGTCGAGCAAGGAAATCCCTCTTCCGACACCACGCTGTGCCCACTGGGGTGCATGGTTGTGGGTATCAACAAAGCCGGGGCACAGGAATTCCCCACGCTTGAGATATTTCACCGGGAAGACGTCGGGCACATGGCCATTTTCCGAGACAATGGAGTCGATTCGATCCAATTCCACGTTGCCTTGTAATGCCTGGATCTTGCCATCTGTTCCCACAATTACAATGCAATTCTCTAGGATCTCGAGCTCATCCAAACTGCGGGAATGAATTACCGTGCCGTGAAAAGCGAGGGGCAGCCCGGAGGTTGGTCTGGCGTTCTTGTCGACTTCTTCCATGATACACAAGAACGATCGCCAATAATGATGGCTGTAGTTCCGGACAATGTAGAAGGGAGATGGGGATGGAAGAGCGCTAGAGGTGAGGGGCATTAATAATCGGCATATGCTGCCCACCTGCATCTGGGCACCTACTCAGCAGGTGGAAGCCTGAACGTCGAGAAACAACCTGTGACTGCGACGCTCCTTATTGTTCTAGCAGAGACCCAAGAATAAGCCTGCCATGCTTCAAATCTAAAGATTATATATCTCTTGATTAAGTGGGAGTCTTAATTGTTGGTATCGATTCATCTTCGTCTCTACCTAGGTTCGTAACCATGAACTATGTATAAAATAATTAAGTCACAGAAACTGAAATCATTTTTAATCTGATTAGTCTTGTCTGTTTTTGAATTCTGACAAATTCGCAAGGTATTCACATGAAAATAAAAAGTCTGGCCCAATGGAAAACTCCGTCTGCCTTCAATAGAGTACGGTTTAAATACAAAGAAAGAGATTCGTTCAAAGGGTATAGTATGATGCCATCTCCTCTTGGAACCAATTGTAGGAGTAGAAGAGTTGTTCCGCCATCTGTGGATCGATCATCGGGACAGTCCCGCTGCCATCTACGAGTAACACATCGTCAAGAACTGGAGCGAGTGGGACTGGAGGTGGAGGGGGTGCAGCCAAAGACATGGGATGAGGTGGGAGGAGTGCAGGCGGAGGCGGAGGTGGTGGTTGTAGTTGTGGTTGATGCTGTGGGTGATGGTGATGTTGCTGCTGTTCTAATTGCTGCTGCTGGTATGCCATTTGACTGAATATCACTGTGCTCTGGTGCCGGAATGTCTCTGCCAACCGGTCCACCCCAGGCCGACGCTTGCCAAATTCTTCCAAGAGTACAACAACGGCCTGAATACCACGTCGCATCGTCTGTTCTTCAGGGTGCCAAGGGGCAGTCTGAGACTCGCGTAATGAGCGCGCATTCTGCTCAAGGCACCACAGGATAGTGATACCAGCAAAATAAACTTGACTCAGTGTTAACCAGATCCATTTCAGCTTTCCGACTGAATAGCTGTCCCAATATGATCGAATGACTTGGATACTAGATTCGCCACAGCTGATGATACTAGTTATGTCGGGTGTCGGGTTGCGGGGGCTGGGGCGGTACATCAAGAGAAGGGTCGTATAATAGAGATAATCGTAATAAGAAGTAGAATAGAGAAGTGCAGATGGATATACGGGAGCGGTCATGCGCCAGTCATCAACCTCATGGCGGAACCGACTGAGCGTGGCGGTGGCTTCTTGGGGTGACAGTTGTGGTAGGCTGCTATATACTACAGGCGAAACAGTCAGAAAAGAAAAAGCAGATGGGATTCCAAGACTAAACTTACAGTATTGATAGATGCGCGAAAATATCCGCCGCAGACGAGTCACCTGGAAGGGTATCGTCATCGCGCTGGCGCCAGGTGCTTCGGTTTCGTCGTCATTGAGCTCTCGCAAAAGGCCCACGCTAATATCATCGTCGGCAATTCCTAATGGCCGACCCAAGGTGCTAGCGATGAGGCGATCCAGGTTGTAAAGACTCCAAAAAGCGCGCTTGGCCATCTCCTCCTCAGCGATGCTAGGATACGACCGCGCTTTGTGCAAACCCATACTAATCGACAACCTCATCGTCGCACCCAACACATGCCAGATGCTGGGACCAGCAGTTGCAAACATGGTATACAAGGCCAATCCCAGCAGTGCCCGCACAGCCGGCAAGTCCTCATTTTGCAATGCCAGTGGGAGGGTCTCCTGGCTGGCATGGTAAAATTCAGCTGCCTGGTTCGGGTCCGCAGACCCAATCAGAAGCGAAATGGCAATGACAATATGGTAAGTATGATGCGTTTCCGGCGACGGAACACCACCAGCATAGATATGGCGCAGATTGGTCATGAACTCCGGACGAGACAGGAAGGGGTATTGGTATCCCATGCTATCGAAATATTGTCCGGACAGCCTTTCCGCTTCCTCCAGCGACAGCAAGCGCATGACTCGCGGCGCGGAGGAAGGCCGTGCGACCGACGGTCGGCGATGCTCCAGCTGATCGCGAAAGATCTCGCCGATGTTGGGCAGTTCGGTACCTACTCCCGTCGATGCCTCTGAGGGTCCTGCAGTCACAGAAGAACCACCACTGCCGGCAGGGCTCGGCATTGAGGTAGGACGATTACCCCCAGTCGCAATCATAGCGGGCACCTGATACCACCAATCCGGATCTCCCTCGCCATCGACTGGTGTTCCCGTCGGCAATTCTGCCACAGAGAGGCCCGACTTGCGGCGGACGACCTCCTCCAACCATTGTACTCGTTTCTGCAAATTCTCTAGTTGGTCTCGGGGAACGGAGGCGCTAGCGACTTGGGGACCGGGTGGGGGTATGGTGCATCGGACTCCGGCGCGGGTGCAGGCGGAGCAATTGGGGTATCGAAAGTCGCATTTCTTCTTCCTTTTGCGACAAAAGTCACAAGCAGTCGATACTCGTTTGCTGCGAGCATGACTCGAGACATCTATAGGCTCGGGAACAGGAGGTGGTTGAGGCCAAGTTGGGGTATAAGTATTGATCGAATCCAAGCGGAACTTTCCCAGCTGATCGCGGAAATCCTTATTCCCAGATGTGCTCATGGTCGGGGGTCACTTAAGCTATCCATTTCCCACATCCACCAATTGTCATTGAAGTAAGCGCACGTTCATCGTACTGTAATTCGTATTGTTGAAGAAGGGAAGATATGAAAAGTGGGGAGAAGAGCTTAGCCCACGGTACTTTCGCTTACATAGGCGAAGCGCCGATTGCCGAAAGAGTTATCATTCTGCGAGATTACCCGTGCTTTGGGCTTTTGGTTGTTGTTTTCTATATTTAATTTGATTGTTCTATATTATCTCCGTATTGATACATACATCAGTGATTATATCTTGATATTTCTGTTTCATTGAGCTTATCTTGAGGATGTTAGGGTTACTTTACATTTCCTCGGCAGTTGAATAGTTACATCTATAACATACTATGAGGCCTATAATCATATTGGAGTTGAATTATTGAATTACCCATCTGATCAATCTAATATCTACATATGTATGTAGAGACTATTCATCTTACCAGATCCCCCGGGTGCTATATATCAACCAAAGTGCAACGTTAAAACATTAAAAATTATTAAAAAAAAACATACAGGAGCAGATCTACAGGAACAGATCTACAAAAATCGATCTACATTGTACATTCCTGAAGTAGGATGAGAGAATTGGACCCTCATGTTTCCATTATACAACCTTATACTGCATGATATCCTCGTATTATCTTATGGTCCCCGAGGTTGCAATTACATGAAGCTTCATTGCCTGGAAAACATATAAATAGGCCCTCAGTTCCCCTCACAAACTCTCAATCACAGAATTAGGCTAAATATACTTTCCACTTACTCTTCCAATCTCACTCCCACTCTCACCATGAAGATTAATGCCCTCCCCATCCTGTTCGCCACTGCTGCCAGCGCCAGTGTCCAGGGCTTCGACATCTCCGGCTATCAACCCAACGTGGACTTCGCCGGTGCTTATGCAGCTGGTGCCCGCTTCGTTATGATCAAGGTGGGCTTTGACTTTCCCGAAGTTACTACGAATCCCTTCTTCGCCATAATACTAACTATATCAGGCGACTGAAGGTACCAGCTTCATCTCCAGCTCTTTCTCGAGCCAATACAAGGGTGCCAGTAGCGCCGGTCTGATTCGTGGCGGTTATCACTTTGCCCAACCCGGCAGCAGCAGCGGTGCTGCACAAGCCACCTATTTCCTCGCCCACGGTGGCGGTTGGTCCGATGATGGCCTGACCCTGCCCGGTATGCTGGACATTGAATACAACCCGTCCGGCGCAACCTGCTATGGGCTCAGCCACTCAGCCATGGTTGCCTGGATCAAGGACTTTGGTGAGACCTACAAGAAGACTGCTGGCCGGTACCCTATGATCTACACAACCGCCGACTGGTGGAACACTTGCACTGGTGGCAGCACGGCATTCAGTCAGGACTACCCGTTATCTCTGGCTCGATACAGCACTTCGGTCGGCACTATCCCCGGTGGCTGGCCTTACCAGAGCTTCTGGCAGAACTCGGATTCGTATAGCTTCGGAGGTGATTCGGATATTTGGAATGGTAGTGAAGCCTCTCTGAAGACATTTGCTAAGACCGCTGCTTAAAGCAATTATGGTCTGACAATTCCTCACAAGATGGACATGTATCTATTGGATTATGATTCGTTTTGTGCAGATACTCATGCAGATCACCTGGTTTTACCTTTTTGATTGAACGGCACTAGAATTGATTGCCCTTATGTACCAGACAGACCCTCTTACAATGTGCCCTATAAATCCTTGTCGCTATCGAATCGACATCAGACTATCCATTGCCATTCAATTTTTATCCAATTTTTATATACCTGATATTGACCCTGAGTACATACAATGTCATAATGACTCATTCTCATTCATCGTGACAAGTATGTATGCACGTGACTATGATATATATCCATCGTATATTTAAACCATCCCTTGTCGTGACAGTTTACTACTCATGGAGGCAAAGGGCAAGCAGTAATGACTTATCTCATTTCCCATTCAGATGGCTTTCTTATGAAAGATCTGTCTGTCGTATATCTTCTACCGACAGCCCTCTTGGGTTTTCTTGTTGTCCTTGCATGGCGTCGGAGGGAAGAATCGACAATACCAATTGTCAACTCATACTCCGGTGATATAACTTTGAAAAAGGCTCATTCGAGATTCACTTCAGATGCCAGGGGTTTGATCAAAGAAGGAATTGAGAAGGTAAGTTGGGTAACTTTCGTTGCAAAACACTGTGTCTAATGTAGAAACTGCAGTTCAATGGCCCATTTCGCATTATGACGACTCTTGGCTCTCGGGTAATCCTCCCAGCGTCTTATACTGAGTGGTTGAAAAATTGCCTGGATTTAGATCATCAGGCGCTTGTCCACGATGTATGTTGCAGCTCCCTTTACTAACGAGAGATGGAAACTGACACACGATTTCATACAGCAATATTTTGCGGCATATCCCGGCATGGAAGGACAGAGAGTTGTCACCGATCCTAGGAAGATTCTGATCAATGTTACCAAAACGAAATTGAACAACCAGAACGGTCGTACGTGACAGCTTTGGGGCCCATGATCTATATTGGAGTCTCACTAATATCGTCTTCCATCACAGAGTGTGCGTTGTTTTATGAACATATTACGGAGGCTTTAGAAGAGATTTGGATGGGCCGCGACGGTAAGTTTGCTCTACATATTGCCAAAGTGCTTGATTGACTTATTCTTCAGATTGGCACACCGTTGATTGGTCTCAGCATGCAGTCCGCTTCATCGGGCGAATGTCAGCATCTGTCTTTGTCGGACCTGAATTAGCTCGTGATCCTAAGTGGCAAGCGTTAATTCTAACTTCGACGATGAATACTTTTATGGGGATTCGATCTCTCCGCGCTTGGCCAGCCTTCCTTCGTCCATTGGTTCATTGGTTCTTGCCAGAACTCAGAAAGTGTCGTCAGCAACTTCGCCTTGCTCGTCTGATGTTGCAGCCAATCTTCGACTGTAGGGGGTATAGGCAGTCTCACTCTACTAAACCTGACAAGATAGAAAATTTCGAGGATACCATACAGTGGCTTGAAGAAATCGCTGCTGGACGCCCCTATGATGCTGCTGCAGCGCAAATTGCGTTCGCGATAAGCGCAATGCACACAACTTCTGAGCTACTCAAGCAGGCCCTACTTGATATCTGTATGCATCCAGATCTGATTCCGGTTCTACGGGATGAAGCACAGAAAGCTATCGAGGAGAGCGGATGGACAACTGCGGGTGTTTTCAAGATGCAGCTGTTGGACAGCGCAGTAAAGGAAACACAACGGCTCAAACCGGGATCGTTAGGTATGTGTCTACTATTTCTGCCAGCTCATGATGAGTACTCTCATGTCCCGGTACTAAACTCACGCTCTCACAGTAAATCTTGAGCGAAAGGCCCTACGAGATGTTATCCTTCCCAATGGCTTGACTATCCCTCGCGGAACAAATGTTGCCGTTGATTCATCCATGATGTGGGATCCGGCGATTTACCCCGATTCGTTCTCTTATGATGCCTACCGTTTTATTCGTCTTCGCAAATCCGGTAATACTACGGCAGCACTCGCATCCACGAGCCCGGAACATATCGCATTTGGCATTGGCAAGCCAATTTGCCCTGGGAGGTTCTTTGCTAGCAATGAAGTCAAAATTGCTCTGGCTAAGATTCTTTTGACTTACGATGTCAGGATTCCTGAAGGGACGACACCCAAGATTATGGAGATCGGATTTGAAATGCTGAGTGATCCAGATGCAAAGTTGGAGGTTAGAAAGCGAAATGTTTTATAGAAATGATATTACAATAAGAAGTTGTATGTAAAGTTGTATGTACACTACGTCAAACAATAATTATTTCCAACTGCCTTAACATCGAAGAGAGCTGACATGTACATAGTACATAGTGGGGGGAACCCCGGGGTGCCAATGAGGATTAGTGTCTCTTGACTCACTCCTACCTCTTCTTCCGCCATGAGGCTCTCGATATTCTCTGTATCCTTCCCTTCCCATTTGTGCTTTTTATCTATGAACATAATCATGGATCTCATCAAATATGCCACCGAGGCCGATGGACCAGGACTTGCCAAAGTCAATGTCCAAAGCTTCCAAGGCCGCCGTCTCCTCGAAGAACTTTTCCCAGAAGCCAGCCTGACCAGAATGCAGGAATACAAAACAGTAGTGGGCATGAAACATCTTGCCAACCCCAATATGCATGTTCTCAAGATCCATGATCCAGTCAGCGGGGAGCTGGCAACCTACAGCCGCTGGCAGTTTCCAGCATCATTTGGTCCGAGTCTGGTTACTTTAAGTGAAAAGGCAGCCTTGTTAGCCAAGGATCCCATTCCACATGCACCCAGACCAATGAACGAGGAAATTTTCAATGCGTTCAAAAAACTCCTAGAAGATGGTCGCAAGCGATACACTACAGAGAACGATATTAGTAAGTGGCCCCACATCCATGGATTCCCGACCAGGGGATTTTGCTCACATGGATGGATCATCAGTCCTCGATCTGCTAGCAACCCTACCGGAATATCAAGGGCGAGGTTTTGGCTCTGCTATCTTGAAATGGGGCACGGACAAGGCAGATGCCTCCCAGTCACGCATCTTCCTCGAGGGTACGCCCGAAGGTGTCCCCATCTACCTCAAACACGGATGGAAGATAGTAGAGGAGGTGGTTATGGATTTTACACCATTTGGTAGTGTTGGGCAAGAGTCCTTTTTCCTGATGATGAGGGATCCAGTTTCACAATAAGGAGTTCAAGGTTTATTATAAATCTACATGTACTTTTGAAGAGATGAATACTAGAAGGCAGATTTACCCGGGATAGGCTTGAAGTACGAACATACTATTTCAGTGCATTATGCACAATTCCTTGTCGACTTGTCTAAATCTTGAAATCATATTGCACACATGTATGTTTATAGGCATATGTATACTACGTAGTAGTGGATAAATGAACTGCCGGGCACGTCATTTCCCCAGGCGGGAATTTCTCACTTCCCCGCTGTTTTGCCCTCCAGGACTCTCTGTCTCTCATACCTACATATATAGGTATTCGTCTTTGACAATGGCTCAGCTCAAGTTTGCAATTCTTGACGATTACCAGGGCATTGCGCCTGCCTATTTCAGTCACCTCGAGTCGCGAGTTGACATTTCCAGTTTTCCCGAAACCCTTGACCCTCGCGATCCTACACAACACGATGCTCTTGTCCAACGACTCCTCCCCTTCGACATTATCTTGGCGATGCGCGAGCGAACACCTTTTGCAGCCAAAACAATTGCAGCGCTCCCAAATTTGAAACTTCTTTTGACCACGGGTACCCGCAATCTGGCGCTGGATCTCGAGGCATTTAAACGTTCCAATGTGGCCGTTGCAGGCACCGAGGGCCGCCCACCCGGTGTGAATTCGACGGTTCAGCATACATGGGCTTTGATCTTGGGGCTCGCTCGAAATATAGCACGCGACGATGCAGCTGTCAAACGCGGCGCATGGCAAGGTTCCCTTGGGATCAACTTGTCCGGGAAGACACTGGGCCTGCTTGGCTTGGGAAAACTCGGGTCACAAGTAGGAAATATTGGCGCTCTGGCTTTTGGGATGAAGGTTCTCGCATGGTCAACAAACTTGACACAGGAAAAGGCCGACGAGCAAGCGCATGCTCAGGGTCTGCCAGCGGGTACATTTACCGTGGCTGCGTCCAAAGAGGAATTCTTCGCACACGCCGATATCGTCAGTGTACACAGTGTGCTATCGGATCGTAGCCGTGGAATCGTTGGGGCGGCTGAAATAGCAAATATGCGATCATCTGCATTTATCATCAATACTTCACGTGGGCCCTTGATTGAGGAGCAGGCCCTCCTCGAGGCTTTGAATGCAGGCCGCATTCGTGGCGCCGCGTTAGATGTTTTTGACCCGGAGCCATTACCTCTTGACAGTCCATGGCGTACTACTCCTTGGGGACAAGATGGACGCAGTGAAGTTCTGCTTTCGCCCCACATGGGATATGGAGAAGAGGAGCTATTGCGGGGGTGGTATCGCGAAACGGCCGAGAATTTGGAGCGATGGTTAAATGGACAGGAGCTACTACGTAAGATGAACTGATGGACAGTAGACAATAAACCATAGATACATAAATATAAATTAAACGAGTTCAATGTAGAAAGAAAAAGAAAAAATATGCAGCTGCAGATGAGGAACATTCCAAAAGAGTCAGGATTTCCAAACAAGAATTGTGTAGGCTGATGGGTCCAACTTCTTAAATAGTTGACTTACATAGACGTACATAGACTAGTTATACATACATTTTACCTAAAACCCTGAAGCTTATGAAGCCGAGAATGTGGTCATGTTGTGCATGTGGAGGCTCACCGAATGACGAATGCGTACGCTCACCCGGCTAAAGGTTCACGTTCACGAGTCTAAATGTCTAAATATCTACAGATTGACTCTTTTTTTGAGACAATTAATTATGTTTTAGGCCTGTGCCTCGGTCTTCCGAGGGGAAAAGACCTCGGTTGAAAGGAACAAAGTGGGATGTTCTCTACATCTCTACGTCTCTATTTAAATAAAACCCTAAGTAATTCCCCCTCGTTTTCACTTGCCTCGAAGATTTCCTATTCTCCTATCCTATCCTTCTATCCTCCTATCCTCATATACCCTCTCCCCTCCCTCACTCCATACCCTCGAGGGTCCGTCAGTATGGCCCCATCCGCCGATCCCATTCCCGTGACGCCCACCCTTACCAACTTCCCTCCTCCGACCCATCCCGAATGCCTGCGTGTTGAACGCAGTACGAAAGCATTTGCGAGCGGGGCTTATTCTCTCGTTGACCTCCCCGCGGGTGCCGTCTTCGCCAAGATCACTACGGCAACTCCTGGAAAGAAAGCCTACACGAGCGTGCAAACCGGCCGCGACACCCACATCGAACTCAACTCCGACCTAGTCTACTGCAATCACTCATGCGCACCATCATTGGTCTTCGATATGGGCCGCATGGAGGTGCGGGTCGTGGACGACCATCCTTTGAAGGCCGGTGATGCGCTCACTTTCTTCTACCCCAGCACTGAGTGGGATATGGACCAGGCATTCCAGTGTACCTGCGGGGCAGGTGACGGGATCTGCAGAGGCTGGATCTCCGGGGCCAAGACCATGTCCACCGAAAAGTTGGATGGGTATTGGTTAAATGGCCACATCTCCGAATTGTTGAATGGGAGCAAGGCCAATTGAGGGGCGCTGGCACCCCAGACAATTGAAGGGCTTGTACTTATAAAGTATCGCGAAAGAAAAAAAAGATATCCAAAATATCCGATAGAAAATATATACTAGCGTTGAGATAACCAAAATACACAGACGCTCTATACTTTACATAAAATCTCAACTACCAGCTCCCCCGATAATTGCCAATTGAATCATCCTACGTCGGTCAATTTCCTTCTTCAACATCATCAAACACGTCGCAACAATAATGGCCTCGTCCAGTTCCAGGAACTGCAACGCAGCTTCATCAATCTGCAATTCACCCCCGTTGCCCGCAGAAGATCGCGACGTGCCGGGTGTCCGAGTATCCTCTCCGCGAACTAACTGTGCAATCCTCTGGTCCGGAGTCTCTTTACTCTTGCCTTTCTCTTCCTCCACTGCACGGAAAACAATCAAATTGACTTTCTGCCCATCTACCCTTTTCCCCTTGGCATATCCCCATTCAAACCGTTTACCTCCAGGCATACCGAAGCGCATTGTGCGGGATGTCCATTTCCCCGCAACGGTCACTTCCTCGGGAACGTTACTGGGAGGTTGAAGCAGGTGCACAACGGGATCACGGTTCGGACCGAAGAAGTATTCGGTTCGGATAAGACTTCCACGCTTTGGGTGGGACAGAGTCGCATTCCCTGAGCAAAGCTTGTCACGTGTGGAGATGTAGGCCTCGGTGCCGTCTGGATTGTAGATAAAGATCTCGGTTTGGCGAGATGGCAGTGGGAGACGAAAAGCGCTGATCCCTTGCGCATTAATGGTTAAAATGCGTGAGGGGCAGAAAGAGGATGGACTCTCGACGAGTGTGCTTAGGGTACTGCTGGATCTCATAGAGAAGGCCGAGGAGTGAACCTCCATTTCTTTTGTCTTGAGATCGAGAGTGGTTGTGGTCATTATGAAGGTGATTTGGCTCTGTGTTCCTCTGGATGGCTCTGGATGAATCTGATTGACTACTCTATCTCAGAGGCAGGGGTGTATGTATGTATGTATGTTTGTTAGTATATATATTGTCTCCAATACGAGACTTGCCTATTTGGGCAACGAACTCTATTCCATTTCTTGGTGCTCGTGTTTCCATGATGTCAATCACCTGCCTCCTTCGCCCAATCGCTATGTACTTTTCATGCTACATCTGGACTTGCTGAGCCTCACTCGTATAGCCCGATTCGGATTCTTATCACACTGGGCAGTGAAACAATATCCCCGCACAGCCTCAAAATTGGTTCCGAGCAATCGGCCCAATGCGTCGACATGTCCCAAGGCAAAAGATACTGTCTTACAGATCTCTATGGCTCTGGTGAGAAGCATCTACGATGGAGGAAACTTTCCATGTCCAAAAAAAAAAAATTGAAGACAGCCCAAGTCTCAAATGCAGGGGACTACAGGGTATTCAATACGATCCGGATCCACTCCCAATATTTATTGGCCTTTTATTGGTGAAGTTGCAGCCCCTTTCGGCTAACCCTGGAAGACCCAGGGTGTCTATTGGGTTTCACTTCTCAGTCACTAATGGGCTTTCTCTTCCATCGAATTGGGCTTGTGGTTTAGTGGTATAATACTCCCTTAGCATGGGAGTGGTCCGGGGTTCGATTCCCCGCGAGTCCATTTTTTTGCTTTTGTTCCTCTGCATTTGTATTTGTGATTGGGGTTTCTCTTTTTATCCAGTTCATGGCCATCATCTGTTATGTTGACATGATCTATATCTCTTGAGGTTCAAGTCTAATATCTATATCTATCAGCTGACACCAATGCCGCTATATCTATCTTCCAATCACACTCGGGTCCAGATCTCTTGAGCAGTCAGCAGTGTACTCAACACCATGGTCGATCCAACCACTACATCCCCGGTGGGCATCCAGCCCAGAAGCTCCAGCGGGATGAGCAAATCACAGCCATCCACTACGATCTGCTTAACCCGGGCGGAAGCAGCAGCGGGTTTGACCGAGGTAGCCTTCTCAGGGGGGGTCTTCTGGTTCTTTCTCTTGCCATTCTTCTTAGAAAGCTGCTCTGCGGGACCGACAAGCAGCGCCCAAATAGCCCCGGCAATGGAGAAAGAGAGCGCATAGAACCAGAAAGTATTGGCCTGGTCCATAACACGATCATTCCAGGGCACTGCATAGACGCCCATTGCATGAAGCTAGCCTTTCATCAGTCCTATTCACCGAAAGAAGGAGAGAAAGAAAAAAAAAACAGTAAATAACATACCGTGGTCAAGTCTTCCAGGACAAAGTAAAGGCCAAAGCAAGTGCATTTAGCTAGTTCAAGCATCCCAGCAACAGAACTGAATCCATCCTTGCCCAACAACGCAGACATGCGCTGGAAGGAATCAATAAACCCAAAGAAGCGGAAATATCTCCGCGCTACACAACAGACCCTAATATCAGCATACATGACAATCAAAGCGGAGGGTATACCTGACCGTCGGGCATGGAATTCAACCTACTCAATGCAAATTGCAACTTGACCGTGGTTAATTGCACAGCCAGGGTACTGCTCACAGTGAGTGCAGCGACGACCTGGGACACGCATTGGATCAGACGAAGGGTCTTTTCAAGGCCAGCGCCCGATTTGACAAAGCGAGAAAATTGTTGGATCATCGTTACAGCACTGAAACCAAGTACAAGGCTCTGGGAACAATGTAAAACAATATACTCTCAATGGAATAGGGGTGGAACTCATGTGTCAAAAGCTTTGGAAGCGGGCTAATCTCACCTGCACTAGTAGTGTTGCTTATTCAGCCTTTACATGTTCGAAAACCCAATGTATCCATAAATGTGAATTAATTTACATGTAATCGGATATTGATTATCATTTAGAGTTCATTCGGGGTCCTTTGGACATGATTGAAGTGGCTGGTAGTTATGTGTTAAGAGATATATAGTTATAGACCGACAGATCTAACATCTAACATCTAGCACTACAAAAATATAAAATAAAAAAAATACACATGATCATCTTCGCAAACCATGAAAATCAAACAATTGACACGCAAATTGAGACAATGCTTTCAAAATAGTAGGGATATATCAGTCCATCAGCTATTCACCGCGAGCAAGTTCTATCGGACCACTCGACAATATTTCCAAGTCTGCTTTACCGCCCTTTGCCGCCTGAGATATCCTGACCCAGACGGTATCCACCAACTTTCTCCCACTCCACTTTTTGTCGCGTGATGGGAAGCTGCCTCCGGAGACCCTTGAACACGCCCTCGGATGTTTGGACAAAGGCCCGGTTCAGCGCTTCCTGGTAATCGCGCTCCGCAGCAGCAATCCGCGAGACAATCGACTCGGCCGATACGGAGGGGACGGAAATGTTGATAGGTTTAGTAGTGTTGAGGGCTACGTTGCCATCTTCGTAGTAGTGCACGTCAACGTGGATGTTGCCAGTCAGGGTAGAGGACGAGGAGGAGACGGGAAGTTGGTAAATTGCGCGGAAACGACCATTCCTATTGTGATAGAACGGACAATCCTCCCCCAAGATGGGGAAGCGCCCACAGCGATTAGTTTCCACCCAAGGTTTATTTGTGGAGATTGTAATCAAATCACTCACCAGAAGTTGTTGGGGGAGTATCGGTTGGCGACCAAGACGATGGCAATGGCAGAGTCATCCTCAATGGGGTAGACACCATATGAGCAGTTGGGGTAGTGTTCACGGGCATGAACACCGAACGACTTGAGCAGCGATTTGCTAAATACGGTAAGCGGAATTCCACTAAGAGTTCAACAACTGAGAGCATTTCTTACATCAAGTCCGCGTGCTCCGACTCCAATGCATATGATTGTGCCGCAGACGCAGTCTATTGCCATGGCGCAATCCCATGAGCCTTTGATGTACTACCTCAGTTGGTCAGATGAAACCTACCTGTGTGGTGTGGTCGACCTCGAACGAGGTTTGGCTCTCCGGGTCGAAGTAGCGGTTGCCTTCGAGCGCGTTAAATCCACTAACAATGACCTGTCCAGCAAACGTGTTAGTTCACCACAGGCAGAGACCACTCCCGGGCGAAACCCACCTCCTGACTTGATCCCGGCAATTTCACCGTCGCGAGCTGCGTCTCGTTGTACCGTTTGAATGCAGGCAGAAGGGAAGGAATGATATCCTCACCCTCGGAGGTCAAGGCTTGCACATCTAATCAAGTAGTAGGGATCAGCATCACCGTTCGTGTAGGAGTCGGTGTTGCGGGGTTCGGGACAGGCAGCGTAGAGCTAAGAGGGCGATTTACCGGCGACAACATCTGCAAGCTGAAGAAAAACACGTTAGTGGTCATCCCTCAAGCCTCAGGAGGACGATGATCAGGGGAGTGGCGGATCTTGGATCATTGTTGACGTGCATACCTCTCCTGGCGGGGCACCTTCGATGAAGGCAGACGCCAGTTCAACAGTGGAAGCCATAACGTAGGAAAATGCAATCGAGGTATCCAATATGGAGTAAGAGGTTCAAACGCAATTGAAGTTCTTGAGAGAATTATTGGAGGTAGCTTGGACGTGGTGATTGTCTGTGGAGAGAGAGAGCTGTGGAGGCGGAGAGCGATAAGCACGTGGCCTAGTATACATTCAGAAGTAATAGACATTCAACATTCTATAGAGTAAAATCATTCATAAAATAACTATGATGTATTTGAAAAATCGCTGGAATAACAAATGTGTATCTTGCTTGAAATATCCTTATCCAAATAACACCATGCTCTTGAAAAACCCTCACAGAAAAAAAACCCCCAAAAAACCCCTAACCCTGAGAGCGCATAAGGAAGAATATCAAATTCTGTTTCGCAAATTCAAAAAGCTCCTTTCAATCAATGCTCATATTCATAAAGCCATCGCTGGCCTCGGTCATCCCTTGCAGGCCGACGCGTTTCACACCTCCAGCATGAGAGATCGTTCGATTGCTCGATTCAGAACTGAGTCGTTCCGAGAACGGTGCACCGAGGCCCGGCTTTGGCGGTGGACCCCAGATGTTTGGACCCGTATCATTGACATTGTGGGAGTGAGTCATCACTGGACTGCTTTGAACACTCACACTGGGCGAGACAGCCCGGCGCTTGAAAAGATTAGGATCGAAGTCATCGTCACGACGCCGCTTGCGACAGATCTCCCCAATAGTTGGCATGCCCGGGGCATGGGGCGTGGAAGAGCGGGAACGCTGCTTGAAGGATTCGGTGGTAACAGAGCCGATGGTTGTGGACGGAGTCATATCCATAAACATATCCTCATCTGCTATAGACGAGGGACCTCCCTGACGAGCTGGGGGTGGGGTTCGGTATCGTCCATCAAACGAGTTCCAAAACTCGACGCCACCCGAGTTGCGACTGGCTTGCTTGCCAAAAGTATCCGTAGATGCTGTGTCTATTCCCGCTTTGACCGCGATGTCTTCTGCCGTTGTCGAATCAAACGAGGTCGAGGGCTGCAATGATGGAAACTCGCCGAGTGTAGGGGTTGATTCAGGCTCAGTGTCGCGGACCTGCCGGACCACTTCTGCCTCTCGCTTCATATCGCTATCAACTGGAGCACCCTCCTCCATCAAAGCGGCACGGATGCGCGCAAATGTCTTGGTTTTGGGCTGTCACTGGAGTTAGCTCCTGGATCACTGAATGAGAAAAGTACCAACTTACAAGTAAGCTCCCACGCCGGGTCACCGCGCGACGGATTACTCCCAGTGGGCCACCACCTTCCGGGTGTGGAGTGGGAATTGGACTTCCACTCCGCGTTGCGCGACTCTCACTATCGTCGCTCATATCGGACAAACGCAGGTCGCGCGTGCCAATACTGAGACTCTCTCTGCGTGAATGCGCAGTCTGTCGCGGGGCAAAATAACCACTGGAGTGCTCGACACTCTTCATGATGGGCGGAGAGTGAGGGGTAGGACTAGGCTTTGTACTGTTTCCACTCGCACTGCTGGAGCTGTGGCGACTGCGGCCTTTGCGAAAGCGGGCGCGTTGGAAACTCATCAAGCTGGCAGCGGCTTGTGAATATCCTCCCATCCACTCGTTGCCAGGACTCTGTAGATTGCTAGCAAATGGACTCGGCGCACTTATGCGAGTCGGCTGCGGCGTATTGATCATAATATCGTCGCGATCAGCCATCGACTCATCTTCCTCCTCACTACTACTCGTGTCCGACTCCATCATATTCACACTCGACATGGAGCTTGAGATTGCTGTACGGTCAGCCGGACCCGATGTTGAAAAAGGTGGGACGGATGTCGTTCCAAGTGATCCGCGTCGCTGGGGTATTGCCATGCCTCGCCCTCCAACGGTGGGAGACGAATCCGGGGAAGACTCGGCTAGGGTGGAATGGTGAAGGTTCGTACATGCGCGTGAGAAGTCGAGGCCCCGAGATCGTCGAGGGAGAACAGATCCCGGAGATCCGTAGATATGTGATGGGTCAAGTTTAGGAGAGAGAGGGGCGCGGTTTGTAAGTGATGGCGACACGGCGGGTTTGGAAGGCAAGTTTAGCGAGAGGTTCGAATACGATGCACTTGATCTTCGAGGTGTTGCGGGGAGAACGGGTATTGCATGATCGTCTTTGGTTGGTGCTCGACTGAGATCACCAGTGGATGGTTGAGTGGAGGATGTAGGTCTGGACACATCGGATAATGAACGCGACTTGGGCGAGCGCGACGGTTCAAGTTGGTGTTCCAGGTCTGTTTGGTGAGGCTGAGCTAATTGTTGACTGAGTTTGCTTTCAAACCCGTGGGCTGATGTACTGCGCCCTGGCGCTGGAGGTCGCACCTGCGCCATATTCAAGTCACTTTGATCTGAGATATCGATTCAGAGCAAGGGCGTACAGTGAAGGGCATCATTCGTCGGCACCGAGGCAGGAAAATAGGGTCAACACTACAATTGATGCCCGTAGAACACATGCGCTGTGGTTTATAACAAGATATACACAGTATTCGGGTCGATGTGAGGTCTACATTGTATTGCAGGTCGCTGGCTCTTGGGCGGTTAACGAGATCAGATGACAGCGCACTAACCTGATCCGGACAAGCCCCTCTTATCGTATAGAATGTGTGATCTATCCATGTGTATATATTGTACGACTACACTTTCCATATGCATAGGGGTATACAACTGTACTGAAATATATAGAATTGATCGATCATTCGTTTTTTTCTCTAATGTACAGCGATTCAACACGCTCAATCTTCTTCGCTCATGCTCTCACGCTAGACTCATGGCATTGCTGATTGGCACAACATGCCATTCCCAATCATTGTAATCATTCTGCAGAGCGGTTCCCTTGATCAAATCTGAATCACGTGTCTGCCATAACTTGGTGATCACTGCCCTTGTTCTAGCAATGTTCGAGATCGTTGAATCGGCCAATGTTGCCAGGGAACGTAGCACAATCGCTCGTCCCGAGCCTGATTCCATTTCCGATTCTGGGCAGAGCTCATCATCGGATGGATCAAGCTCCACGGCTGCCACAAAAACTGGCCATGTCACATTGACCAGCGATCTACGGTCAAGAAGGTCCGACACGACTCGTAGGATCTGGCGCACATAACTCTTCACCAAAGGTGTGGTAGGCCCAGCCCCATATAAAGAGCAGTGTAAGTAAAGCATGGCAGCCAATCGCTTAGAATCTGCAACCAGGCCGAGCATTTCTTCGTCACCTTCTCCCACCTCTTGGACCAAGTTTTCTAGTTGGCGCTCAAGGGACGCCGCACGTAGTGAGAACGATGCCTTGTCCGCCTCGGATGTATTTTGTCTCCTGGTTCGACTCATATCTGTGATTTTGGCTAGGATCGAGACCAATTCAGGACTACATCCCATCCAAAGATCGATGTTGCGTTCGTCCGGTTTCCAGTAGTCGGTGCCAAACAAGACCTCTTTGGCACAAGCTGTTCGACCCATGACATCCTGAAAGGCAAAAAATTGCTCTGCAAAAGTCGTCACGGGATCCGACGGGGCCGTTGACTGCGATAATTCTATTTGCTGTTTTCTTCGCAGTCTGATTAAATCGTTGGCCCCTTTGAGATGGATGATCCATTGTTGATCACACTTATCCACTATCTCGTATAGACATAGCATGATCATGATAACCAGTACTTCAGGATCCATGGAGCATGTCAAAGTTCCCTCTGACGAAAGCCGTTGACGAAGATCTCTCAAAGCCTCTGATTTGAAACGCAGGCCGATTGCACCATAGCTTGGATTGCGCCTTGACCAGTGGCATGCTCCCAATGCTTGAATAGCTTTGAAAAGTGTAGGAGAAGCTGATAAACAGAATGGAAGAATCACAGAGGCAAACGGTGAAGAAAATGTGGAGCTGGCGGTTGTCCGAGGGCACACTTGTTGAAGATAATAATCAAATAGCTCTCCATGCCCAGATTTGGATAGCTCTGGAAACAGTGCAAGCGACGGCGGGAGGCTTGGGTTGAAGTTTAGATTAAGCCCTCTGAGATGCGGGAAATGTTGTAACCAGGACCATACTTGGTGGTTTCTGGAAAATGGTGAGTCAGAGCTTTGAGCAACTGAAATCAGTGTATTCAACTCGTCGAAGTCAACGTTCACTTCATCTGGGTGTTCGAATGTCGACACACCGCTGTTTAGGAAGCCCCAAGGGCTAATAGTTGGCACTGGACACCACTCATGAATTTCCGAGGAAACGGAGCCGCGTGTAGGTTGAATTGAGCCGGTTTTGTTCCAAATACCTGCACGCCCAAATGCTACTCCACGACTGATAAATTCTGATTCCCATTTTAAAACCAGATTCTTCGTGCATGGCAATCCTTTCTCTCGGCAACGTGTACAAAGAGGCTTTTTGATGTCACATCGAACACGACTTGCCCGGCATTCTTTGCAGCCATCGCGAGATCGGGTTTTCACCGGACCTGTGCGGTCTGCAGCTTTTCTTCGTGGCATACGAGTTACCAATTGTGGATATATAAACTTCACATGGTATGAATCAGCCTGCCAGGGTCAAAGATGATATGTTGAGATGGTTGAAGTTGGCAAAGAAAATTGGAGGTCGTGAGTGGCGGGAGGGTCTTTAGCCACCCCGCCAAATCTCCAGGTTTAATTTACCGATGTACAATGTGCTAGTTAACTATGATATACAGGCCAAACAGACCGAATTGAATTGAAATATTGTATTCAAGCATTCTTTTTCCACTCTGCTGCACAATCGCCAAATGTCACAAATTCAACCTCATCTCCCTGCTGTTTGAGCCACGAAATCATTCGGTCAATCATCCCAACCACATGGGCCATTCCACTAGTATCGGGGTGCAGGATCAAAGGGAAAACAAAACCTTGCTCAGAATCATCCTCAATTGATTTTTCGAGAGCCTCACTGTAGAGGAATGCAAATCGCGACTTCCAATTCTGCTCAATGGTGGTCGGACTGACAAAACCATGCGAGTTTGGGGCCGCTGGCAGATAACCAAGGGGTGTCATATCCTCCATATACCAATTGCATGGGATTTCAACCAAGGTCTGGGGAGTCCTGGCTTCAGGGGCAGGGAGGGGTATCATCCAAGTAGAAGCAGCCTTGGAAGGCGAAAAGTCAATGGCCTTAGGCTCTGACACTCGAGGGATAAAGTACAACGACGAATCATGATGCGTGAGAGAGGAATCTGGGCTGAATTTAGTTTTCTGGTAGTGGATTGCGATACGAGCAAAGTGATATACCGTATACAAATCCAAACTCCTCTAGAACTTGAATGGTATGTGTTCGCAATTGATATAATGGCGCCCTCCATCCTCGAGGTTTCTTTCCGGTCAAGTCGGTTGCCAACTGCACACATTTGGCGATAACCTCTCTCTCCTGTGATTCAGTCATTTGACTGGAGCCCTCGTGCGCATATCCATGGCAACCGATTTCGGCGCCCGACTGAACAATTGCTTTGGTTTCTTCTGGAAATGATTCCATTGAATGACCCGGCACAAACCAAGTCACCGAGGCACTGATTCCATGTTTCTTAAACAGACGCAATAAGCGTGGGACTCCGACTTGAGCCGCGAAAAAGCCACTGCTGTAATCAGCCAGATTGGTTGTAGCCGAAGCACCAGTGCCTAGAAAGCCCGAGACGGCATCGAAATCCACGGAGAGTAGAATTTGGACTTTGGGTTTCCGGGGGGAGACATCTGTCATGGATTTAAGTGTAAAATTGTGACCCGAGTTAAAAGGTCAAGATCAAGGTCAAGGGATTATCAATTTATAAGAAATTCAAGATGAAGTTCAAGTCAGAACCCGAGAGGGAAAGACGACCCGACACTTGGATCCACCCCCGCCATGGAGAAAAGAAAACCTTCAACCTTTACAAAATAGAATAAGAGGACCTGTGAAAAGGACGTCGAAAATGACCACAATCACTCGGACTCACTGGGCTATCGCGAATCCCTTCAAGGTCACATGATGTGTCCAGCGATTCCTAGACAGCTTTTGGCTAAATGGGATTTTTACACACTGGTTGCTATTAGCAGCTGTCGAAACCCTTTGACAATCACAGTGGTAAGGAAACAAGCAAGTTGGATCAAACTCACATTCATCTTCAAAATTTGACGGGGAATAGAAGACCAGTATCGAGTCTGGAGCCTTGAGGCCTCGTGCTGGTGCGGTATAGGCCAATGTCATAGCCAGATGGCGGCCTGATGATCAACCCACAGCAGCAACACAACTGGCATCAACGTTTACATCACGACGGGTGAGCTGAAGCTGTGATAATATTGATACTGTCCATGCGAGACCATCGCATGCATCCCCATTCAGCAATTTTTACCTAAGCCCTCCGCAGAGCCCACAAAGCCCAATGTCCAAACCGGGCTCAACCCGCAAATGAAAGAAAGATAAGTGTATCTCCATCAATCTCTCCACCGATGAAGAACGTTTGGTAGGAGCGGTAAAATTGCTTCTCGTCAAGAAGAGGCTCTACAGGTTCTAGACAGTGCCAATATAGGTAGACCAGCCGGTCAGCTTGTTTGCGCAGTGGTAACATATCATCTGCCTGATTGCACTCATCACCTATATCTTGCAGAATTGATCAAGATCCAAACATCGGCGTATCGGCGAGGGGTATTGGGCATCGCTTTTTGCAGGACGGAAGCCCAAGTCTAGTGTTGATAGTGGACTTGACCACAGAGGGAAATTCATTGACATCGTCACCGACGATTTCATTAAAATTCTCATCGATGACACCTTCATACACGTCCGATGGTTCTGGTGGGGAGAATGTCGACGCCGAAGGAGTTGGTAGATTCGGTGTTAACGGAGGCTGTACACGACTCCGAGAGCTCGGGGTAACGTATTTGCACTCCTCTCGAGATAGATATCAACTATCAAGAGACCCTAGGGCAATGCACTCCACACAAGGTTAAAACCCAGGGTTTCCAGGATATTTTGGACACTTTGGCTTTGATATTGATCTATCTACCTTTGACTTGAATGATGCGGCGTGGCTGGGAGACGTGGATTGGAATATATGAAATTATTTACCCATATCAGCCATGACTCTAATGTTTCAAATTTGTCTTCGTCATTGCAATTCACATTTTGATCGGAGAACAACATGCATGTTCGCTTGACTCGGTTTCAACAAGTTTACTCTTGTTATCCTCTTGACTGGACACAGCCACATCTAAACTTGGGTTTCCTGTAAAGAAGTTGACCGGTTTGAGACCAACCACCATCTTTTCAGATGGCATCACTGGCCAATCCTCGATTCTTGGATTGTGCGTCGATCCAAATGTGTGCCAAATAACTATGTCTTCGTTTCGCACTGTTGACTTGGAGTCTGGGTCATTTCTCCGCCGAGTAATGGCTGAGTTGATCCCTTCGCCGCCGAGGGACTGCATAGTATGATTTCCGGCCGGAAAAAGCTCGTCATCGTTATAACGAGTGATCCAGATTGCATGGTTTCCGTATTCGGATCGCTTTGCATGGAAAGACTCTGGATGGGCCAGTAGTAGTTGGCTGTAGCATGGAACGAGTTTGAATCCCACCGGCGTACCGGTAATAGGATTGACTTTTGCCTCATTGATGATCTTGAACGTGCGATTCTTGTTAAAATCAAGATCTAACCCCCCCTCATCTGTCACAATCTTTGAATGTGTTGTGTACCCGACCCCGAACGGATTTCGAACCGATGGGTCGTTAAAGGGCAAAGGGTTGGACTCTTCAACCTGCAACGAGTTTGCAACACCATCTATTGCAGGATCGATACGAAGAGAAAACAAGTGTTGGTGATATGGCGCTAGGACACCCGGGGCAACAATAGTACCATATCCAACTTCGTCGCCAATGTTGATAGGGCTGGTAGACAAGATCCCAGTGGCCCGAACTTCATAATGAATCGAAGCATCTTGGCCAAAGTGGAAAGCAAAGATATACTCATAGTTGCTGACTGTGATAATTGTCTGCAAGACCAGAATACGTGATCTAACCACCGCAGCATTTCCTGTCCGGAAATTTGTGTGCTTCCATAAAATCCCATCATCTTGCTCATGACAGCAGATGACATTGGGCAATTTCAATGGCTCTCCCGAGGAAGTGCTGTGCCATCCATCAAAATATTTGATCAGTCCCAGGCAATCACATCCAAGGGATAAGTTGTTCGCATTAATCCCAGCACCATCGTTCCCAAGGTCAAATGCAGCTTTTCGTGGAAACGGAGAACGAGGATCACCATAAGGCACGAACATCTCTGCCAAAGATAGTCGGTAGAAGAGACTCCGACCGTCATAACGGATGTCGTGTAATGTGAGGCCCTCACGATAATTGAAACCCACCCGCATAGTCCATTTCTCCCAGGTCAACAGGTTTCCATGTGATTTGAAGGAAGCCCCTTCTGGCTGAACAACCTGGTAGGGCTTGGTGGTTGTGCGCGGTGGTGGTCGTAGACTAGGATGGTATTCACTCATAGTAGTGGAATGGATCTTGCAAGGGTCATACGGTCGTGCTTCTTCATGAACCCTTTCACTCTCGGACGAAGGTAAATGGTAGACCTTGGTCACATTGAGATGCTCAGAGACCTCCGCACACAAATCAAGTGGATATGCGTAATAGTTGGCGTCGGGATTGTCCACCAGTCGCATATAGAACCAACACTATGCATCTTATG